TTTGTGTGTAGGTGCGCACACTCAAGCATATGTGCCATGGTGTGTGTGTGTGTGTGTATTGTATGTATGTATGTGCGCTCTGCATTTCTGTGCTTCATAGAGGGTGTCTCATTTTGTCTTAATCTGGGCCCCCATCCCCAAGAGCCGAAGTGCAGTGTGTGTGTGTGTGTGTGTGTGTGTATGTAGAAAGATAGGCATTGCCCTCCTTTATCCTCTGCTCATATTCTGTACAATGTCACTGTAATTAGATTTTGAGTTCGAATGTGGTGATGGCCACAGCAGGTGAAGTCTACCGGTAGGCGTTTGTATTTAAAGTGTGTGTGTGTGTGTGTGTGTGTGCGTGTAGTAAAGTCTACATATAGGCAATGATGACTACCTGTATTTTTCACATAGCATGGATCATCACCAGATACAATGTGAACATTCAGTACACACAAACACATATATTAATGTGTAGCATTGTGTTCCTAAAACATCCACCCTGTTATTTAGTTCCATTAAAGCATACACCCTGTCCCAGTTAGCTACTGTAGCTCCATTTAAAACATCCACCCTGTTACCTAGCTCCATTAGCATGCATGGGAGGTAGGCTAGCTAGCTAGCTTCATGTAGAGTACTGTATGTTCTTGTTAGATTAATTTGGATTTTAAGAATAATGACTAAAGAATTTCACCCCAAACACAGTATAAATGTTAGAATTATCATGTAGTGTCAACCCACTAACAGAGGGGGCGTTACTAACCATTCAAGGGGGAAGGCGGGAACTGTTTAAGAAAGCCACCTAAAGGTGGGAGGAGCATAGTGTCTTTGTTTGTCAAGGAGTATAAAAAAGAGGATATTTGTGTTTTTTGAGCAGAGCTCTCCATGAATAAATTTACCGATAATTACTTGTGGATTGTGGACCTTGAATCATTGATGATTAAAACCAGAGCTTTACAACCTCTGGTAATGATTCAAGCTTAGGTCGAATTAGAGATAGAAATTCACATGACAGTTCTAGAGCCGGATGGCGTCTCAGCCCCTCTTTAACAGGTGTTCCCTCTCTGAGGCCCGTTGAGGAGATGTAGTGGCACAGTGGAGGGAGTGAGGAGACGTGGTGGCACAGTGGTGGGAGTGAGGAGCCGTGGTGGCAGAACGGAGTGAGTAGGTAGACATGGTGGCACAGCGGAGGGAGTGAGGAGATGTGGTGGCACAGCGGAGGGAGTGAGGAGAAGTGGTGGCGCAGCGGAGGGGCTTTGAAGACTGGCACAACAGACTGGCATCAAGGCATCGCCAGACTGGAAGTACCACATGCTCCATCTGCTCGGGTACATGATTCATAAACAAAGGGTATTTGTCGGGGCGTATGGGGAGATGGCACTGGTGCTGTATAGTAATGCCATTCAGTGCGTTGTGGTGAGGCATTTATAGGTTTGTCTATCATGCTTAGCTTATGTTATAAGGCCTGCTATAAATATTAATAACAGCTCCTATTGTCTTATAACACATGTATAAATACTTATTCATGCATATTACGCTGACATGACACTTGCTGTAAGTATTCAAAACGGGAAATATTAGACATATTTGTGACCACCTCCCCCCCATAAAGTAGCCACAATGGCTAACAAACTCCTTACACAACTAGCTAGTTCATTCTAGCTAGTTCTTCTCCTTTCCCCCTTCTGATAACCAGGTGGCGAATCGCATCTCTGCATGTCTGGCAGACATATCAGTATGGATGACGGATCACCACCTCAAGCTGAACCTCGGCAAGACGGAGCTGCTCTTCCTCCCGGGGAAGGACTGCCCGTTCCATGATCTCGCCATCACGGTTGACAACTCCGTTGTGTCCTCCTCCGAGTGCGAAGAGCCTTGGCGTGACCCTGGACAACACCCTGTCGTTCTCCGCTAACATCAAGGCGGTGACCCGATCCTGTAGGTTCATGCTCTACATCATTCGGAGAGTACGACCCTGCCTTACACAGGAAGCGGCACAGGTCCTAATCCAGGCACTTGTCATCTCCCGTCTGGATTACTGCAACTCGCTGTTGGCTGGGCTCCCTGCCTGTGCCATTAAACCCCTACAACTCATCCAGAATGCCGCAGCCCGTCTGGTGTTCAACCTTCCCAAGTTCTCTCACGTCACCCCCGCTCCTCCACACACTCCACTGGCTTCCAGTTGAAGCTCGCATCTGCTACAAGACCATGGTGCTTGCCTACGGAGCTGTGAGGGGAACGGCACCTCCGTACCTTCAGGCTCTGATCAGTCCCTACACCCAAACGAGGGCACTGTGTTCATCCACCTCTGGCCTGCTGGCTCCCCTACCTCTGCGGAAGCATAGTTCCCGCTCAGCCCAGTCAAAACTGTTCGCTGCTCTGGCACCCCAATGGTGGAACAAGCTCCCTCACGACGCCAGGACAGCGGAGTCACTCACCACCTTCCGGAGACATTTGAAACCCCACCTCTTTAAGG